AAAGAAACAGATATTTATAGTGTTGGGATGTTAATGTGGGAAATATTTGCAGGTCATCCACCATTTGATGATGAAGCTCATAATTGTGACTTAATGTTTAATATATATGCAGGTTTACGACCACCAATATTACCAGGAATGCCTGATGATTATGTACAAATGATGAAAAGGTGTTGGGATGTGGATCCAGCCAAAAGACCAACTATTGGTGAGCTTTTGGATTTTGCTGATGATCAACGAAAAGAAATTATCAATAGTAATCATAATAATAATAGTATTAGTAGTAGTAGTAGTAGTAGTAGTAGTAGTAGTAGTAGTAGTAATAATTCACAACAAGTACACAAATCACATCCATTAGCATATCACACAAGTAGAATATTAAATAATGAATTTGCTAAATTGAATTTGAGTAATGATAGCTTATTAAATTATGAAATATAATTTTAAGAGGTAAATTAAATAATTGGTTAATTAATTTAAATCTATTAATTTAAACATGATTATTTATTAATTAATCATAATGATAATAGCAATAATAAGTAGTTAAAGTTGAAGAATTGGGTGAATTATTGATGGGTAGATAATTAATTAGTTTCTTCATTTATTAATTATCTTTTGTATTTACTATTTAATTTGTTTTGTTTTTATTATTATTTTCAAAATAAATTTGACTAATTTCTCTCCAATTCAGAATTACACATTTTTATAACTGAATAATTAATATAATACATAATTTTCCTGATGTCATAAGTCAAAATATCTCAAAGTCAAATGTTAAATTCAAAATGAACAATACTACATTTCATTTTTGAAATGCTGATTGTATAGTTGTGTCCCACATGATTGTGTTTTTGAAAGATGAGGATTAATAATGTTTTGACTGAATTCAAAATTAAATATTTTAAAGATTCATTTAACAGAATGAAACAAGGAAAAATGGACTCTCAATTTGGAAAATGCATCAGTGGTTTGCCATACGTAAAATATTTTGTTGGTTATGGAATTTGCATTTGGATTTACTTTTTTTGTTTTTATACCAATCTAGCACATTCTCATTATACTATATTTTATATTTTTATTTTTATAATCGTGTAGTTATCCGCAAAAATATCCGCAATTTTATGCAGCATCATGAAAATATCCAATTTTATTGGTGGGTGCGTGTTATCCTTATTTAGAAATCGGTTTGGCGATTGCGAATAATTTTTGTGGATAACTACATGATTATAATATTTTTACTGTAGGAGAAATTCAATAACCGAATTCCTAATACTAAGGTTCCAAATGATCTGTCGAAAAGAAGATTTTAATATCCCGCATGATTAGGAATTTGAAGCTTATGACAAGAGAAGAAATTGGGTAAAATTAAGCATCTATAATATTAAAGGAATACGAAACAAAAAAAAATTAGACCCTTTGTTGAAGGCTAATAATAATTTTTGATTTGCAAATAAATACTATTAACAAGCTTACAACCGAGAACGCTTTTTTTATTATTTATTTTAATATCGCGTCAACTAAAGCTCTGAACGAGCCAATTCAAGCCCGAGTTTATGCCTAGCTCGAGTCAACTCGAAATTTAATATTATTTTTTTATAAAATCGCGATTTTGCAGACCACTGAAAGTAATTGAAGCAATAATAAACTATAATTTTAGAACATTTGAATTATCATAAATAATTTATTACTGACTAAAAAATTCCGAAAATTTCAAATGAGACAATGTTCTGGAATATATGCATAAGAGAATTGCATTGCACTAAAATTACTAATCAATGAATTTTATGTTTTTAAAAATTCACAATAACGCGAATTTAATTATAACAGATAATTCGTTGAAACATTTCACAATGTTTGCTCAGATATTTGTAGAGAATTAAAACAAAATACAACCCGTTTAAAAAATCTTTGTTATTATTGAATTGAGCTAGAATTCCTATAATACAAATTCTCATTCGAATTATTTTTAATTAATTTGAATTAATAGTTTTATTAGTTTATTCAAATTATTTATTCGCTTGTTCGTTTATTCCAATTATCCAAATTATTCGTTTTTATTTTATTCGAATTATTCGTTTTGGTTTATTCGTTTATTCGAATCATTCGTTTTATTTATTTATTCGAATCATTCAAATCATTTGTTTATTCGCTTTATTCATTAAGTTGAGCAGACTCGAGTTAAAACTTGAATTTTCAAGTTAGAGCTGAGTTCAAGAAAATAGCTCTTAAATTGTTTTTAGGCAATGTGCATAAATAAAGTATTAAAATTAATCATCCGTTACTTAAAAAAATTTATGTAGCGTCAGACTCGAGCCGGCTCTGCTCATTCGGAGCTTTAACGTCAACACCAAAGTTAAGTTGGATTTTGATTGCATCTTCTTTGTCGTAAAATGACATCACTTAGGCCAAGACAACAGTCTGTATTATTAAATTCAAAACATATAAATAGGACAGTCGTCCCAACGTTTTTTTTGAAAGACTTGAATATTTTCATGGAACAAAATCAGATCTTTAATCTTTATTATCATCCCCAAAAAATGATAATTCGTTGTCATCATTTGCTACTAATATGTAATATTATTGTTTAATAAACATTTTTCCTTCTTTTAAATAATAAAATTTAACAAAAGAGAGAGGTCATGTTACGAAGGGTCAATACACCCAGCATGAGCCACTAGCAAGAGTCCCACTCTCTCACTTACTGGGCTTTAATAACACATTTTAAGTGAGTCGCTGGGTTCGCCATTACATGTCTTACCCCGGGACGAGTAATAGTAATGGAAAAATAAGTTTCATAATTTTTATTGTGTAATCTAAGAAAAAATAATGAAAATAAAAAATTCAATAGGAAAAGTAGAGTTGAATATAGATTGCAAGTTTGTGGAAGTAGCTATTAAATACAAGATGTATAACGACGTACGAAGCTTCCAAAGCAAGTTTGCAAAATATACTGATGAACGTTTATCAATTATTCAATAGTTTGTATAGGCACGATCGAGGTAAGCGTTAAAGTCGAGATCTATGAAGCTGTTTGTAAAATATATCCAATGAACGCTTTATTATTATCAATGATTCAATAGACAAGATCTATGAAGCTGTTTCTAAAATTTATTTAATGAATGCTTTATCAATTACTAAATGACCATATAGACGGGTTTGATCAAAATAAGTGCCAAAGTCAAGACCCATTTGCAAATCAAGTTTTCCAAAATGAACGTTTTATTATTCAATGATTATATAGACGGCTTTGGTCAAAGCCAGTGTTAAAGTCAAGATCTATGAAGCTGTTTGTAAAATATATTTAATGAACGCTTTATCAATCATTCAATAATCATATAAGCAGGATTGATCAAAGCATGTGTTATAGTCAAGATCCATGAAGCTGTTTGTAAATATATTTAATGAACGTTTTATCAATTATTCAATAATTATATAGACGAAATAAGTGTTAGTCAAGATCTATGAAGTTTGCAAAATGATGTTTATCAATTATTCAATAATAATTTAGGCATGTTTGATCGAAGTAAGTGTTAAAATCAAGATCTATGAAGCTGTTTGTAAAATATATTTAATGTACGTTTTATCAATTATTCAATAATTATACAGGTGGGCTTGATTGAAGTAAGTGTTAGATAGGATATACGATAAATGTATAGGCATGATCGAAACATTTTTAGTAATAAACAAATAATCAATCCAATTGTCAATTAGTTAGTAGTAATAAACAAATAATCAATTTAATTAATTAAACACATAATGCTTTTCTTAAAAAGTAAACAATAAATCAATGGTATAGTAAAAAAAATATTTTTTTAGCATAATCAATGCTTTTCTTATAAAAGAATCAACAGTATGATCTTCATCACACTAACTAAATGTTAAAGATGCTTCGCCACCACTAAAAAAAAGCAACATATATATGGTAACAAAAAACAATAATTGACTCAATTGTTGAAATTAAATAGTAAATAAATAAAAATTTATTCTTACCAAACAGTTCTCTTTGGGTTGGAAAAGGATATTGTTATTATTATTGCATGATAAGCGTTTATCACGTGGAAAAAAGGTACATTGAAACTGACACATCCAATGAATGCAGTTGTTAGTAACAACTAGATTCAGATATCATGTGTTGAGATCTTAAACTTGAAGTAGTTAATTCTTGTTCTTTAGACATCGTTTTTGATGATTATTGTTTTTAGAATGATTTGGAGTTTTATCATGGTTTTTTTTCAATATCTCTCTCATTTATTTAATCAATTAATTTTAAAATAATAAATACGCGATCTACAACATTGTAACCTCCATTGTACAAAAAAATTTTTTTTGCCTTTTTTGGGCGGAAAAATATTTATTAATCTCATCATTTGCATCCTCATTACGATGATGCAACGAGTTTAGTATTTTTTCGAGATGATTCTCCAAAAATCCGAGAAAGAGTCAATTTCGTTCTAACAGGAAAACTTGAAACAAGCCAACTCAATAAATATTGACGGAAAGGCCAGCCAATACAAAAAGTGTCAGAATTCAACTGATTTCTAACGACTTTGGCCAAACCGTTAGGATCACCAGGTCCATAAAATTTATTAGAAAGTAGATGAGAATTTCGAGTCATGTTCGTTTCTATTACTCCAGGTGCTATCACAGACACTTTTACATTATCAAAAGATGCTATGTAACGAAGATCTCGTGCAAATGATATTAATGCTGATTTTGTTGCATTATAATAACAGAGACCTGGCATGCTGAAAAAACCAGCTATAGATGATGTTACTGTAATAGAATTTTTTATTTTATTTTTTATGATTAGTAAATTTTTTTATTTTTTAATTTCTAATATTTTATTCATTTATTTTTTTTTACCTGCAATTTGTCCAAATCTTCTTCCTTTCATTCTTTTATAAACTGTCATTATAGTAGCAATATTTCCAGTGTAGTTGACATCAATTAATCGTTGCCATCCATCTTCCCATGGAACAGTATCAATATTATCTCTAGTAGCACCTGCTTGAGCTATATCGTTTTTAAATCTTATAAATAAATATAAAGAGACATGGCGCAAATTACGTAATTCTGTTTACATAATAATGGTAATAGTTATATACCTGCATTTGAAAACAGCAATTCAATTGGATGGGAATCATCAAAGTTTTCTAAACTTTTTTTC